AGCAGGATTGTCCAGGAATTCTGCAGGTAGGGCTAGAAGCAAGGAGCACTGGCTTTGGGTGTCACCTTGGGCAACTTGCTTCATCTCCAAACAAAGGAGAAAGGATAACAGTACTTACTCCCTTCAGTTGAATGAAATGAAGATTACTTAAAGTGATGAAGTGCTGTGAAGATGGGGAAATAAAACTTTTAAAGCATTAAGTAACAGGAATAATTGCAGTAAGTGTAGGGAGGCAGATTATGTGTGAGAGATTTGGCACACTCTGTAATTCTCTAGTACTTCTGCTTGGGGCCGTGCACTGCTCTGTTAGACAGCGTCACCTCTCCTGCCCTTGAGGAATTGCTTTTAAAGGAACAACCTGCTGGAATACTCACCATTCTGTTGGGGACAGCACAATAGTTTGTTTTGTTTGTGTTTGTTGCCATCTTCAAAGCTGTGGTGGTCTGTGTGACCCAGGAAGATACTGGAAGGAATGAGCCCCTGTGCCTTCCTGGAGTGTTTTCAGCAAGCCAGTGCTTTAGTGTGGTGTAATGTACCACCTAGGGCCAAAAGCAGAAACTACACTGCTATCTGGAACATTTCACTTGCAAAAGTAATGTGTGTATTTGTGTGTGTGTGTGTGGACGTTTTTGTATAAAAATAAAACAAAAACCTGTGTTAAGGAGAAAAGAGGGACCTTCTTAATAATTGTAATGCATTTTAGAAAGTAAAAAAACTGACTTTTGTTTCTCAGAAACATAATTTCAGGCAAAGTTCTATTTTGCAAAAACTTAATAGTGGAGAAAGTCTGTAAATCTCCTTAACAGTCAGCAAAAAAAAAGAAAAGTTTGGATTACATGGGATTGTCATGGTTTAACCCCAGCTGGCAACTAAGCACCACACAGCCACTTGCTCCCAGCAGGCTGGGGTAGAGAACTGGGAGAGCAGAAGTGAGAACTCGTGGGCTGAGAAGACAGTTTCATAGGGAGAGCAAAACAAGGAGTTCATTCACCAGTGCCCAGGGACAGGCATGTGTCCATCCATTGCCAGGCATTGGTGCTCCATGCTGTGTCTAACAGTGACTTGCAAAGAACAAATGCTCTTGCTCCCAAAGTCCCCCTTTCCTTCTTCTTGCCCTGGCTCTGCGTACTGAGCATGATGCCATGTGGTCTGGAATGTCCCTTTGCTCAGTGGGGTCAGCTGTCCTGGCTGTGTCCCCTCCCAGCTCCTTGTGCACCCCCAGCCTCCTTGCTGGTGGGCTGAGGTGAGGAGCAGAAAAGGCCCTGACTCTGTGTAAAGACAATTCAGCAATAATGAAAATATCCCTGGGTTAGCAACACTGTTTTGCTCACAAATCCAAGACATGGCCCCATACTTGCTACTGTGAAAGAAATTAACTCTATCCTAGTTTTAACAAGCACAGGGATCCTTTTGCTTTATTACAGCTTGAGGAAAACTTTTTGCTAAGTGTAAATTTTTACCTATAATTTCTCCTGAGTTAAGAATCATTCTTCTGGTAAATGTCATTCCTGCTGGCTGTCAAGGGGCTGATGCTCAGCTGAGGCAGTTGGGTGACAGTGTGTGCTCCAGTGTTTAAAAATGTCCTCAGAAAGTCATCTTCTTACACTGTTTAATTCTGGAGGCTCTAAAGCTTTGTAAGATATGAAATAGCAAATTATCCTAGGCTTATGGAGTCTCCTAAGCTCTAAATATTGAGTTAAATAATCATCACCATGAGATAATTAAGTAATCACTCAGCTGGATTTATTAAATGATGCTGCTATTTCAAAACCTAATCACAAAGTTAATTTCTGTAAATTATGGTGAAACCCAAAAATGACAATGGTCAGCAAAAGACATAGGTGGATCCCCAAGGTTTTTCTTGCTTGTGTTATTGGTAGGTGCTAGGATTTTCATTCCAAAGCCCAACAGTGTTAAAAATTAATACACTATAGGGAATAAATACATAAGCTTTCTCTCCTTGTCACTTTTAAGTATTGAAGCTCATGCCTGAAGTCTCTTGAACAAGGAGCACGTTGAGGTGGCCTAGCTATTGACAGTCTGTAAGAAGCAGGTAAATGAGGTACTGCCCTCATCAAAATATGGGTAAATTGCATTTGCTCAGGTTTAGCCTTGTTTGCACATACCTGATAACTACTTGTACAAATCCCTAATATAAATACAAATGCTGTCAGTTCTCATCTGATTTTCACTGATGTGAGCACAGGGGAAGAAGCATTTTAGCTTTCAAAGGAAGCTCTGTAAGGACAGGGACAAGTAGGGAGCAAGAACTCACACTTTCCCTCAGTATAAGTCACCCCAGATTGGTCAGGGTGATCCCAGCACATTATTTCCTAAATCTGTGTCTCAGGGTGGAGAAGTGTAGTCATGGGGATATTTTTCTTCTGCAGCACTTGGTTCTCATCTCCACCTCTTTCCATCACCCCAAGATCAGTGGAGCTGATGGGCACCAAGCCTAGGGTTAGGTGGTATCTACCCAGTGCAGGGAAAGGGGAGTCTCCCTTAAATAAAGACTCAGAAAGGTAGGTAGTATGTCTCCTGTGGTAGATGCAGTGATTTCAGGAGGGCAGAAATTCTGTGTTGGATCAGTTAGTCTGGCCGCAGTGAGGAGAGGATTCTGTGCTGTGTCATTGGACCAACCAGGAGGGTGGTCTGCATGGTTTGAGCCTGGTATTTTCCAAGTGTGGGCATGCTGAGCACATGTTACCCAGCCATCTGCTTGGGGAGTTCTTCTGGCTCCTGGGATAGAGATCTTGCTGGGGGTTGGCTGCTGCCAAATCATTGATTCAGTCTGCTGCTCTCTCCAGTGGAAAGCTTAGGGAAGGGAGGAGCTGCAGGTGAAGTGTAGGACATACTGTCACAGGAACAACATTGTTACATATCCTTGCATCCTAAGGATCTCACAGCCTCAGAGTTCAACTGCATCCCAGGCTGTTTACCTTCTCAAGTAGTTATCCTAGAGTGGGGAGAGCTTTGGGCTCCTTTGGTCTCACCTTGGTGTGACTATCCCAGTGCCCTGGTTACTCAGTGGGATCCCTGTAGCAGCTGCAGTGCTCCAGGCAGGGCCTTTGACTGTTCTGGCATTCAGGCATCAGTGGTAGAAGTAACAGGCAACTCCTCTCTTCTAAAAAGTTATTTCTGTTAGGCATGGCTGGTAGCAGATCTGGGAGACTTGGCTCAGTGAGCACGTCCTGTTCCATCTCCATGCAAGGAGTTTTTCTCCATATGCTGCACCATCTCTCTCAGCTCATCTTACCCTCTTGCCTTTGGGGAGATGGGCCCTAGAATGGAAGTTGTTTTCACATCCTCATCAGCAGCTCCTTTTCATAAGGGAGTTTAAGTGATATGAGTGGTGGAGGTAGATTTTATTTCTTTCTGGGTTGGCTTGTTGGTTTTGCCTTTTTTTCTGAGCCTGTAACTCAGGAGCAGTTAATTGAGAACTTTAGCTTTGACTAATATGTTTTACAAACAGTTGCAAGGGGTTTGGAGCCCGTTGGGTCAACTGCTGATAACCTGATAGCCTTTAATTGTGCAAACATACCCTCAGATATTTCAAAATGAGGGCATCTGGGTGCTGAAGGAATGGAAAGGAATGTGTGCACAAGTGTGTGTATATACATGTATGTATATAGTTCCACAGTTACAATTCCTTAAGTGACAGAACCACATCTAGGCACTGAAATAAGTGACTCTGCATAAGATTTGTCTTTTGTGTCTTTGCAAAGGGGAATACTTGGGGAAGTTGTAAATAATTGCAATTGTCAGCCTCTCTCTATCTTTGCTCTCTAAAGCTGCGGAAGAGAAGTGTACCAGCTTTGCTATTCAGAGCATTTCCCTTAGCAGCTGAATCCTGTGGGAGAGTCCTCTTAGAGCAGCTTTTCTCTGCAGTGGACTCTCCTGACAAGATCACAGACGGCATTTGGTCTCTGAGTGTCATGATGAACATCTAGTTGGGTCTATTTTTACTTCTGAAATATGTTGAAAGATGCTATGGTGAGAAGAAGCAGTACAGTAAGATTTGGAAGCAGTCTATACATGGTAATGCTTTTGGGGACAGTATGCGTTTTCCTTCCAGTTCCTGAAATTTCTTATGTATGTAAAACTTGAATTAACATCAAGACAATAGTCATGACTGTCAATATTTTGATTTTCTCTTTGTGCACCAAAATTGAAGTTCTGAGCTTTATAGCTGCTCTGATATGTCCTTTTCTGCTTCAAAATTTTTCAATAAAATAAATTCGCTGTGGGAGTTACTGCTACTCCAAACAATTAATTGAGAAGAAAAATAATGATATACCTTAAGCAATTTTCCCTTATTGACATACTGTTCTTCACCCCTTTATTCTGCCCTGAGTGCTGGTACGGTGTCAGAACAGCATTTCAAGGGGCGAGAGAGAAAATATTTTGACCTGAGAAGGTGGTTGGAGAAGTGGTTGAAAAAGTGGCTGAAACCTCAGCTGCTTTAACTACTGTTTGTGGTGGGAATTGGGCAACTGGCAGTTCTGACCAGATTATCCCCGGGTTTAGCGTGTCTGTCACTCCACTGAGATTACAGACGCCAGGTTTTGTTGTGAACTGTTTTGCCTGTGCTGTGTAATCGGGATCCTGGCTGGCAGACCTTTGTCAGACCTGCCACCCTTGCTGGTTTGGGAGGTGACAGGTACCTGCTCAGCACACAGGTGCTGAGGCGTCTCCTGTCATCTCCATGCATTGCCACCCTCTCTCAGACACCACCAGCTTGCTGCATCCTTATGGCCTGTGGGGCTGGGTGCAGTGGATGACATCTTGGCACTTGCAAAATGGACCAAGCTTGACTTGCCTGGGAGCGGAGCTGCTCTTTGCTCATGTTTTGGAAAGAAAGGGGTGGGATGTTGCTTGTTTAGCTCCTGGAGACAGCCAGTCCTTAGAAGATGATTGCTGGTAAGAGCTGTGATAATGAGCCAGAATGGTGATGTGATCTATTAATTTTTCTTTTTTTGTTCTTTTCTTCCACATTTCAGGAGGGGTGCTTGTGGCCTTCAGAAAGCTCGGTTTCACGCCAGGGTGCTTCAGAGGTACTGACAGATTTCTGACTATCTTCACCAAGTGCTTTCTTTTTTTTCCTGTAACGCGTATTTGGTTCTTTCAAAAACATGCATCTATTTTTTGTAAAGGAAGCTTTTTCAGTGTAGTTCACACCGTCATCTAAGCCCGCCTTAACACGCATTTCATAAATTCATGAGACCTTTTCATAAAAGAATGAAATTTTGCCTACCTGACACCTCATCTCCATCAGCACTCCCTGTGTCATAGTAGGCATTCGCAAGTAAGTGATGGAGGTGTGTCTCTTTCCCACAGTGGCTCAGTAATTTGAGTATTCATTGGAAGCTGGGAGACCAGTTCCTCTTGTCTCTGAACTTTTCTTGGATTTACAGCACATATCCTATCGCCAGTGTCTCCCTTCTTCCAGCTAGCACAGATTCCTTGTCTATACAGTAATTTGTGGGTGTATTGCTCTGAGTAGTCCAGCTGTCCTGGACCAGCAGCAGTGACCAGCAGCAGACCTTCCTGGTGGTTGGCCCTGCATCTGTGAAGGCCAGGGGTTGAAGACCCTGCAGGGATCCAAAAAAGAGAAGAGCATTTTGATAGCTCTAGATCTAAGAAGCTGCTGTATCTGTCCAGATCTGGGATAGACCAAGTGAGGAGCAACACCACTCACAGAGTATCTTGAACGCTTCCTTTTGTAAAGCCTGCCCTTCTCCAGGATTTTAATATACCAAGGACATACTTTCCATCACAATGCAGAAGCTTTGTAGGTTCTCCCCAGAGGCTGAGTTCTGGCTGAGAACTGAGGGGGAGGAGGACATCTGATACACTCTGATGGTGAAGGCGTGAGATATGCTGAGGCTTTACAAATTGTACTGAAATGACCATCTGAATTCTTTGGGGATGCATTAACTCTGAGTAGGAGGGGGAAGCTTAGCTTAGACTGCAGCTGAAATTCAGTACTGGGGCATTGTTGTAGAGCTAGGCAATTACCCAGACTAGAGAGAATTAATTTCCTGGTTTCAGAAACAGAATAATTTGTTTTTGCTCAGAATGTTTTAGTGTCAGAAGGAGCTGTGTGGGGTCTTGGGCTTCCTTCGTGCAGCTGTTCTCAAGTGTGCTGGATCCTTCCTGCATCTCCTCCTCTTCACCTGCAGGGATGTGGCTGCGCATGTGCATGGTATCTGCTGGGTTTAACCTCTAAGACAGGTGGAGAAAGAAGCATTCTGTGTTTTATCAGTTCGGGGTGAGGACTGGAGCAGCCGCGGCGCTGGGTGCGGCGGTGGAGTCACGCGTGTCTCTCTTCCCGTTTCAGATCATGTACGCCCCAAGGTCCAGGGACAGGTTTACCACCCCATCCTTTATGCAGCGGGACCGTTTCAGTCGCTTCCAGCCCACCTACCCTTACATGCAGCATGAGATTGACCTTCCTCCCACCATCTCCCTCTCGGACGGCGAAGAGCCGCCGCCGTACCAGGGCCCGTGCACGCTGCAGCTCCGGGACCCCGAGCAGCAGATGGAGCTCAACCGGGAATCCGTCAGGGCGCCGCCCAACCGAACCATTTTTGATAGTGACTTGATAGACATCTCCATGTACAATGGGGGTCCCTGCCCACCCAGCAGCAACTCGGGCATAAGTGCAACCAACTATAGCAGTAATGGAAGGATGGAAGGACCACCCCCGACGTACAGCGAGGTCATGGGCCATTACCCAGGCTCCTCTTTTTTCCATCACCAGCACAGCAACATGCCTCCTTCCTCGCAGAGGGGGAGCAGACTTCAGTTTCAGCAGAACAATTCAGAGAGCACAATAGTCCCCAGCAAAGGCCAGGACCGGAAGCCAGGGAACCTGGTCTAGGTTACCTGCCCAGGTGCGTTTGGACTGAAGACGGGAGAGCCCAGCAGGGCGGTGGAGGAAGAGCCCCGTGCTCCGGTGCACAGTGTTGTTACGTGGTACAACTGAGTAAAACCAAACGTGCAAACCAGTTCTTTGTTTCTGATTCCTTTCAGGGGAATTGCATGCAAAGCAGATTGAAAGAAATACAAACTTCCATTCGGTTTGTCTACGAGCAGTGTTTCAGGGGAAAGGGGGGGGGATATATTATTTTTTTTTAATAAACTATTTCAATTATTTAATTCTAAAAGTTAACTTAGCACAGAAATGAGGCTTGTACAGCCTGTTTTATACTCACTGAATGGCAGAAGGAAGAAGGTGGTTTTGCTAGATAAATGGGGGAAGAATTGGCCAGTCTGCTTTTTTTTTCTCCCAGGATGTGAATTTTTTTTTAATATGAAACAAAATTCCTGTTCTGTGTGCCAAGGTATAAAGTTGAGAACTTAGATGAATGCAAGGAATTAATTTGTGTTGTGATAAATGTGTTTTAAAAAGTTGCACTATCTTACTGTTTTAAAAAAAATATATATGAGGGAACTGTTTTATGTGAAGTTCTTCTATATGTTGTTGTTTCACCTGTGGAATAATGATAGAGCCCTAGAAGTAATCTGGAGGAGTTTGCCCCCTCCCCCCGGGTTTGCTAAAAGATGGGGACAGGACTTAGGCTAACATCTCTTGACTTTTACAATTCAAAAAATACAGGGACGCTTGTCTTTGCAATAATTTGCATTCAAATAACAGTGTATCAGTGAAGTGTCTTGGAGACTTTTGGATGGAAGAAGGCAAATATGAAATCTCAGCATTTTCCATCACTTAAGGTTTAGCTGTTTTGCAGTGTAGACGATTTCTTTCATAAATGGCAAAACTACAATTCCCAGATGCGTTGATTTGTATTGATTCTAAGTGCTGCCATTCTTTTCTTTGTCCTAATGCAGTATCACCAGTACTTACCGTGCTAGAGATTTCTGTCCTCACTGTAGCCTGAAATGTATTTAGTCACATATCATGACATTATGCAATAAATGGTTTGAAAATGCAGGGTGGGATTTTTTTCCCCTGCTCCGCTGTTCAAGTATGTGAGGCTGTCGTGGTTTTCGCTCTCCGTTTCATCCTTTCAGATGCTGAAGTTCAGTCCTGGAGGTCTGTCCTGTTGAAGTGAAGGGAGCCCTTGTGGCAAAACCCCCCATGTGGTGTTTTTGCAGCAGTACCAAGGGCACTTGTAGCAGTGGTGCTGGCTCCTGAAGTATCCCTGGCAGGGTCATGGGAGCACCAGGAATTCTCCCTGCAAACCATTTTGCTCTGGGCCCTGCTGCAGAAACCCTTTGGGTGCATGATGTCTGCGTGACGCCAGCAGGACTGTGCTCATGGCTAAAGGTGACTCATGGGTTCACCAAGTGTCTGTAAGCCCTGATTTTTGCTATACTGGCCTGGAGAGTAGTTGGGAAGTGTTCCCTGCCTGTGTTGTGGCATCTGGGGTGTTTCTCCACTGGCTGTTCCCGTGTGGAAGCACGCGCGGTGCCGGAATTCAGTTGATGGCAGAAGGTGATAGTGGCATCACAAGCACATGAAAAAGCACAAATTGCACTTAAAATGCATTTTGGAAATGGACTTAAAAGTAAGAATCTTTAGAGTCTTAGCTTGAATAGTTTCTAATATATAGGTGTATGAGTGTGTCATAGACCTCTTCACTTTAAGATCTTTCACTTTTTTCTGTTTTCCTGAGCCTTGTGCTTGGTTGTGGGCAGCAGCTGCTGAGTGCCCCAAGGGCATCAATGCCCTGGTCCCATGGCTGGAAGCTGGATTTCTGCAGGACTTCTGTACACGAGGGACTCTGATAACTGAAGTGCATCTTTGATCTATGCAGAGTTTTAATGCCAAAACTGTGTGTATGTGTGTGTCTGCGTGCGTGTTGTCTTTTGGGCCTCAGTGTAGATTTGTTTTCTTCATAAGTTAATTTGATTTTTTTCTAGGTTAAAAACATTTGTATAACTGTTAGTCTGAATACACAGCCCCATTTGTCTCTGTAGTTGTTATTTTGGTCTGAGTCATGCTGGTAATGCAGAGTAAAGCTGCCTTTTATTGTATGTATTAATTGAAGGGAGAGATAGAGATTGTATGGTGGGGTTCACTTATTTTTTTTCCTCTCAGACCCACAGTACAGGTGTTTAGAAGATGACTAGGTGGCTTTCAGTCAGCTGGGGCTCTCACCACTGTCTGGTTCCTGGGAATAAAAGCTGTGAAATTAGATTTTTGCAAAGAACCTACAAACATAATTCTTAGTTAAAAACAACAAACGAACAAAACCCAACCAGAGGACAAAGCCAGCAAATGTTGGTTTTGGTCTTCAGTGACTTTTGTCACTTGAGGAGTGAGCCTTTAAGCCAGAGAATGTGTGTGCCTACACAGATACTGTGCTGTTGCCTAAATGAGGATTGTTTAGACAAGCCTTGAGGTGAGAACAGCTGGAACTCAGTTGTCAGGGCAGAGCACACCTGGGCTTGGGCTGCTTGAAGACTGACTTTCTCCATGTGTGGATCTCAGCAGAGTGAGCCTTGAAGTTGCCTTCAAAGTTGCCTCTTGGGAACGTTCTTTCTTTAAAAACAGCCCTTTGGTATCTTTTACCCTCTCTGCATGCCAGTAGATTTATGCACTTCCCATTAACATTGTCCAGTATGCTGTCTCTTAATTTTTCTTGGATGAGAAAATTTTTCTGCCTGGAAAATGTTGCCTTTTCCAGTGCTTTAGAACTTTGTTTAAAATAACTTGGTATTTGCTTTAAAAATAACTTGGTATTTGCTCACTTAATAGTTGCATCTCCTTTTGCATCTTTGTTTTCTCATCCTAGAATCCTAGAATCATCCTAGAATCATAGAACAAGCTCAGCTGGAAGGGACCCATCAGGATCATTGAATCTGGCTCCTGGCCCTGCACAGAACCATCCCCAGAAGTCACACCATGTGCCTGAGAGCACTGTCCAAATGCTTCTTGAGCTCTGTCAGGCTGGTGCTGTGGGGGAGCCTGTTCCAGTGCCCAGCCACCCTCTGAGGGAAGAATCTTTTCCTAATACCCAACCTAAACTGCCCCTGGCACAGCTTCCAGCCATTTCCTTGGATGCTGTCACCGGTCAACAGGGTGAGGAGATCAGTGCCTGCTCCTCTTCTTTTCCCCATGAGGAGGTTGTAACTGCACTGAGCTCTCCCCTCAGTCTCCTCTGGGCTGGACAAAGAAAGTAACCTCAGCCACTCCTCATGGCTTCCCTTGGGACCCTTCATCGCCCTCAGGGCCCTCCTTTGGACACTCTAATGGCTTAAGGTCATGCTCTGCTTTCCCACATGTAATGTGCTGACTCTCAGCTCTGGGAGTGTAGTGACTAGTTCACTTGCTATAGGTGAGCTTGTAATCTTCTGTTTTGGGGCCTCTCTTGGCAGTAAATAGGCTTTTTTCTGATGGATATTAGTGCTCTCCAATGGAAAGGCAGTCAACAGTGTAACATGGAAATGCTTTGTTTTTCTATTTTTTTCTTCCATTGACTTGGTAGAAAATCTGCTCTTGACAACAGAACAGAATGGCAAAAGAAGTACCAGAATTAGATAGCACTATCAATCTTTATAGGCTTAGGGAGTGAGCTCTGAAGGCAGGTAATTCTATGAAGCATTTATGGAAGACCAGCTTTGAAAATATCCAGAATTGATAGACTGTATCCCAGAGCCACTCAGTGAAATTTTGTATAAATTATAAAAGATTTCTGCAAACACTGTAGCATTAATTGTGTAGATTTTGCCTCCATACTGATCTTCTGGTGTATGTGTCTCATACCACAAAACCCACATAATATGTGTGTGGTGTTCTCTGTGTGCTGGATCATATTTGCCTGAATTCTGGTTGCATCTTCTGACTTTGCCCAGTAACTCATGTTCCCAAAATTCAGAATAGTGATGTCCCCACGTTAGAAATTTTCAGGTTAAAAGATTATTTTTTTCTTTTAAATGCACCTTTATGAAATAAAGTTTTGTGACCTCTGTCCTACTGCAAAGACTAATTTTTCCCTTACATGTCTTGGCATGGCTCTCTTCTTGATGCTAAGTATGCCCCATCTTTGGTGGTTTTGTATGATCTTTCAGGGCTAGAAAAGGCAGGGGGTTTAGCAAAGGAAAAAACCTGTTTCTCTCCCAGTTTACCAATGGAGCACTTGGCACTTAGCTCTAATTCTGTACCTATGTTTAGAACAATTGTGTTTGGGCTTGCCTCAGTGCTGGACAAGCAGACTGAGTGGGATGCTGCTTAAAAGATGTGAGTGAGAGATAGGAAGGGGGGTACCCAGCCAACAGTGCAGTGTTCAGATCCCTTTCCTGGCATACGTGGCACGTCCAGAATTCAAAGGAGTTTGCATAATAGGATGTTTTCATCAGGGAGGATCTAATTATGCTACTCCTGGTCTTGTCACTGATGGACTCTGCATGTAGGCCAGTCTTGGGCTGAGGGGACTTTATTACAGCATGAATTTCCCTTGGGAGTATGACAACTCAAGCATATGCCCCATGTACAAGTTCCTGATGGCCAGTGAGGAAGATGATTGTGTTCCTGCACTCATGGAATCTGCAGGAGCCATGACTGAAGCTGTGCTTCATTTGACCTTTTATTACTGCTTGGCCACTGCTTATACCAGTTTGTCCCAGCTGGAAGCTGCTTGTTGTGCCAAATCCCAGAATGTTCTTGGTGCAGATACATTTTTTTAAAAAGTGTCATTGAGAGTTCTTGTTTTTTTTTCTGTGAATGAGGTGCAGGGAAGGGTAAGGAGCAGAATTTATTGTTTATTAAGGAATGCACTTCTTTGCAATAGGGAAGAAATCCTTGTCCTGCTGGAGAGCCCTGAGTGGAGGCTGTCTGGAACAGTGCTGTCTGAGGTGATCATTTCTAACCCTGCCAGGTAGTGAGATACTGGGCCTTAGAACTGACACTCTAATCTGGAAGGAATGTTTGAATGCTTTGGAGAGGATTGATTGCTGACCTTTCTCTGACTCTATCCCTGAGCGCTAATGGTAGCTAAGGTAACCTGATTTTGTAGGCGAAGGAAAACAAAATTGCAAGTGTGTAAAAAATAGATATACATCGATATTTTTCTTTGCCTCTTCCCCCCACCAAGGATAAACAATAGGCTTGCTGGCACATTTGAAAGTATTCAGGGTTATCACAGGTTCTCTCTGGTCATTACAGTTAAGTCATGTCCCTGCATATGCAGATCTGCTTGCAGACTTGTCCCCGTGATTCTGTCTGTACTAGTTTCTATTCCATGATCACCTTCCAGAAGTGCTGAATGGCTCGGTGTTGTGCTCTCAGTAACAATGGCAGGTCATTTGTCAAACAGCAGGAAGTCTGAGGTGTATTTGCTTTTCAGTCCTGTACATGTCATGACCTATGTTTTTATGAGTAGGGGGCTTTCTTGCTGCACCAGTTCTTGCCTGTGACCTGGTGTGCTCATGCATCTTCCATCCAACAGCTCTCTCTCCTTTTGGGTGAGCTTTGAAAAATCGTTGTGCTTTGGGATAAATAACCCCAATGCAGATCTCGTGTATTGATGTACGGGAAGAAAGTAAACTTAGTGTACCCTAAATCTCATAAGCATGTTTTTCAGACCTAGCTGATGGTGAGAACCAAGTGATCCTTCTGTGCAGTGGGTTCAGATGAAGTCTGGTTTTTGATTACATCCTTGCTTTTTAGATAAAGGCTGTTGCACATAATTTAATTACACATATCTGGTCTTTCTCTGCACTGTGTTGCCTGCTTGCCAACCAGTACAATTACAACTTTTCTCCTACACTAGCCCCAAATGTGTCAATCATTTCAGTCCCTGGAAAGAGGCAGTCTTACTGAGTTGTCTGAGGCCTTTTAGAACATGAAATAGTCCCTTGTGAGGATGTGTTAAACTTGGAGAGGTTTCCCATCCAAAAACTGGTCTGTATGTTTCATTAGGAAATTCAGCTTTAGGGTTTTGAGAGTATGCTGACTGAAAATGTCGGCAGGATTTTTTTTAGTTAATATATTGTTTGCCAGCCTACCCTCACTAATCAGAGATGTAAATTACCTTTTGAGCCACCTCTGATTGCATTTTTGGGGTGGCAAAAGCCCTGTTGGGCACACTTGCACCAGCAAAAAAAAAAAGAGTAGTTTTCTTGGTACAGCTCTGGGGAATAAACAGAAGCTGCACCACTAAGTTCATCCTCCAAAACCAGCCTGAGACCTGCATTGCCTCTTCCCAGCAAACTGAAGTGTAGGTGTTTGGATGAAGTGCTTTGCTGCACTCTTTAGTACCACAGACACGCAGTGGAGGGCCTACTGATGTTTTCTTGAAATTGTCATTGGCTTTAAATGTATTTCAGGGATGCTAATGCTGTTTTGGTAACCACCCAGTACAATTCTCCTGCTTTTGAAAGGGAAAATCAAGGACCATTTTGTGTCACAGACTCTCCTGGCTCTTACTTCTGCCTTGCTGGTGTCAATTCTGTTTTTAGACTGAACACAAGCAACCCGGGTATTGCTAGTGTTGCTTTCTTGCTATAAAAGAGCTTAACTTTTTATGTTGATTAATGATAGAAAAACAAAACTGTAACGAAGATATACTTCCCCTTCCCTCTGACAGAAGTGTGATTTACTGCCAGAGATGATGCTTTTTCTTTGCTATATTGCTGCTGCTGTTTCAAGTGGTTTGGTGTGTGAGCTTCCTGAAACAACACGGTGTGTGTAGGATCTCGTGGGTGACAAAGCTGTCTCTTTTCTTCTTCCTTTCTCTCCTTGGTTTGTGCTTGTCTGTCTGCTATGGTAGGTTTACTAATCAATTAAATACATCCTTATTAGGTATAATTTTGAGGAGGTTTGCATGTCAGTAGTTTGTAAGCAACTAAGGTGCCTCATGTTCAGGTCTGAGCAAATAGGAATCCCCTTGCACTCAAGAGGGCCTGATCCAAGGCCTGCTGAAGTTGGTAGGAAGACTCTTGCCAACTTCAGGGGGCTTTGCATCTGGTCTTACACTCCCACCTTTGTTGTGCCTCACTTAAAATGGTGCTTTTTCAGTTGTCTGTCTTTTTTTCTAGTTTGTTTTTTTTTCTTTGTATGGTGCTGTGTATAACTTGAATATATTATGCACATATCCTACCCAATGGGTAGAACAAACAAACAAACATACGAAAACAAATAGATGTTAATACTGTAAGATAGTGTACAGATGATACCAATTTTAACACAAAAAAATGGCATAAACTTTGTGAATGCCAATCTGTGCTTGGTCCTTTTTTTGTAAGAAAGTTTGCAAATGAATGCATACAAATGACAAAAAGTCTATGTATTTTATTTTCCTATTAAATATCAATATAATATCATAAGGGAAAAAGGTTAAACAAATCCTTTTTGACAAGCCTGTGTATAGCAATTAGTCGTTTGATGCATCTTTGCTGTGAAGATTTCTTCTTTTTTTTTTTAATGTGTCACTTTAAAAAAAAAGGAAAAAAACCACAAAACAAACAAAACCTCCACAGCTTTAACCTTGCAACTAAATGCTTCTCATATTGGTTGTTGCCTTGCTATTGCTGAGTTGGACCAGTATTAGTTACTACTTCTCAAGCAGATACATTATTTATTACTATCCTTGATTAGCTTTTTTTTTTTTTAACTTGGAAATGGGCTAAAACTTTCAAACCTTTTTAATCACATCCTAGATTTGAAATGAAGCTCAGACAAGTGGGAACTGACCCAAACCATCCCTGCAAAATCAAAACCAGGCCAATGAGAGTTCTGTGACAACAGCCAACCGTTCTCTGTGCCCACTGCTGGTGCACCATGCTGCCATTACAGACTGTCCTTGGGCTTGGGGTGTGGAAGGACTCCCTGGTGACCTGTGCTCTTGCAGGGTGGACAAGAGTGGCCCCAATGGTAGAGAGCTGAAATGCAGGGTTTGAGTGGGAGCTTTGAGTTGGCAGCTCTGCTGCTGTGTTGGCTTCTGACAGCAATGGCTTACCCAGGTTCATATTTAAGGTTACAGAGAAATGCTTAGACCTGTTCAAACCCAGTAGGGGAAGTGGTGTGTGAAGTAATGTTACACTTCAGCTTCTTGCCAGGCTCCATTGGTTGTTGGTTCTCCCCCGGTGTCTCCCCGTGTTTGGCGCTCCATTCCCGTGCCCCGCACGCTCTTCGGTAAAGCAAATACCTCAGGAAAACTCACCATGAAGTTCTAGTGTAGGGACTTGCAGATGCTGTACTTATTTTTCTAACCTGTTAGTTCTGACTATCCCAGGACAGTAGGTGATATAAAAGTTAAACAGTCCGAGACAGACTCGTCCTCTCACAGATGGATGCCAACTACTCTTTCATAGATGCTCCTGTCTGTATGTAGCTTTTTTATACTTGCCAGGCTTTAACCACAGATGTAAGGTAGCAAGGTGTTGGGTGATGTTTGAGATGGCCTTTTGGTTCGGTTTTTCAGACGATTAGCAAAGTGCTGTGCTGAAACTCAGGGGGCCTTACCCGGGGCCAGTGAAGTCAGTGGTGGGGCTTCCTCTGATTTGAGTGGGCTTTCAACCCATCCGTCACGCTGGAGGATGGTGCCTTGGGGCACACTCCTTCACTGCTTCTCTGTCAACCTGAAGCATCTACACCTTTGTCTGTAAATATCTTTTTAAAAGCCCTCACAGGAGTCCTGTATCTAAATGTTGACCATGGTTGTTTTGGCTTTTTTTTGTTTTAAAAAAGTGTGTTAAGTTTCTTATGGCCAGTTCTGCATCATCGTGCCCTTATAGGTAGCTTGTATCATCACATCCTTCTCTTTGTTGAGCTGTTCTGTCAGTAAGCATGTACCATAGGTAAATACACATATTTCCTGATTGTCACTTGTTAAATCATTTATTGTTTGTCAGGGCGTGGAGTAATTGTTTTGGAAGTGTGCCTTGCCTGGCCATCCTCACGTTTCTGTTTGCACTGCAGAACCACTTCTGTGCATGAAGGAAGAGAAGCAAACAAAAAACCCCGGGCCTTCACTAGGAAGACTGTACAGAGTAAACCTCCTGCTGGAGGAATCTAGAGTAGGATTTATTGTAACAAAACATGCATATTGAGTGGACCAAACACGAGCATGTCTTCTTTTAGAGGCACTAATTTGCTTTGAAGCTGCAGTGGAAAGAGCAGACTATCTATCTATTAAGTGTATTCACAGCTGTGTTCACGCTTTTCCATTTACCACAAAGCACAGCAGGCAGCCAAGATTTCAAAAGGACTATGAGCAGAAGTTACGAGAGCCTCAGGCATCATAGACCTGGACAGCAAAAATAATAATAATAATAATTTTTAAAAAATCACTTTAGTATTCTTTAACAAAGCTTTTCTACTCATAATATAAAGACTACACAAGTGTTGATAGGGGTTTTATCTTTGTATAACTCTCAACTGCCCAATGCTGCTGTGCTCAGAGCATTTCATGATGGTATGTACATCAGTCAGGCTGTTACACTCAAAATTAACCATCAAATGCCTGTTTTTAGAGTGTTACCCTTTCTTTGTTGTTTCTTGCTAGTTAATTTACAGTGTAAAATGCTTTATTGCTGTATGGATTTTAATTTTTTTTTGTATTTCCAACATTGTGGCTTTCAAGATCACATTTTCAACACATCTATTATTTTTGTCCATTTTCTTTCAAGCTATTCTGAAATATGTACAGCACTATCAACAATATTTAATCTTTCTTTTAAAATTTATTGTTGTAAAACAAAGCTATTAAGAACAGTAAGTCTTTTTACAACTGTATTGGAATTTCTCAATAGCTGTTCATGTGATGCTATGACAAACCTGGCTTGCTTTACTTTTTATTTTTTTTAAATTTTATTTTGTGTTTAACACAATTAATTTGTTGCTTATTTTCCACCGTAACTCCCAGTTATATACAGAAAAAGATTTCAACTGTTGTGTATCTGACTCTTTTAATTGAGCAAATGGTGATGTCCTAGTTTTTAGACCTAAGGTCTGTTTATTGCAATACTTTTAAAGGAAGATGTTGCTCTAAGTGCTGTTGTTAGTTTTAAATACAGATTTTATGCTTGTTCTTAATATGCTGTGGTTAAACCATGGCACAAAATTATTAAAAATTATTAAATGCATTTGTCTCCTGTTGGATTTATTTTCCCTTTGTAGTGAAAAAACAAAAAAGCATTGGAACACTAGAGTGACTTTGGTAAAAATAAGTACTTGTCTCTTTCCCTTGCTGTGTCTGATGAGGGTTTAAGATCTGCCTTCTGACCCTCACACTCTGGTGATTAATGCTGGGACAGTTCCTGCCCTGCCTCTGCCATAGGATGGGCTGGAGCAGGGACAGCCTGTCACACACTGGAGTTCAGTCTAGGCACTAAATCTAAGCCAGTTTGTGGTTTCAGTTCCTTTAAGAGAACAACCCCACCTCGATCTCATTTAAAGCCCTGCTGGTGGTGCCGGCCTCTGGCACAGCAGTGCCGACTGACCAGCAGGGAGGGGGGGATGAGCAGTGCCCCCAAAGCACTGAGTTGCAAAACTTCTTTAAAAAATGAAGGTGCAAAATATGGCTTGTGGGAGGGAGATTCACAACTCGGTTTAAGAAAGCTGGGACATGCTTTGGCCAGTGCTTAAAAAACAGCAGTTGTGGTCCAGTAATGGGGTGAAGAGAGGGATGATGCTCTCAGTAAAAAAACAGATTAAAGGGTCCTTTGCAAAGATTTGTCTTTGGTGATACAGATCTTTGCAAGGGAGATCAAATTATCCCTGGCTGGCACCTACCACTTTGCCATACTAAAGCTTAACAAAACTGGGAAAGAGCAGGTAATTTCTGTACATTCTGTGTATAAAGTGATGGTTTATTTAGCATGATTATTAATAACATAGTTTTCTTGGTTTATATTTTATACCTGTGCTTGCTGGAGTTTGATGTCTGTGTTGCTGTGATGTGATGCTGAGTTTGACACTTCAAACCTGGGGCTTTCTTGCAGGTCTTTTCCAGGAGGAGGTCTGCAGTGGGAGCCAGGGTCCATCCCACTTCAGGCAGCCTGCTGTGGAGCTGCCTTTACATTCCATCAGAGAGGAACCAGGGGGGTTCCCCTTATTGCTGTTCTTTTCAAATGTCTTAGTTCTTTAAATGTTACAGTACTTATTTTTGGGTCAAAAGTAATCATATTTTTTTCCTATAACCACCCTGAGATTGCTCTCCTCCATCTACAGCATTTTAATTCTTCTTTAGTATTTAGAAAATTGCTAGTTCCTTAGTCCTTAGAAGTACTCTAAATCTCCAAGCTTCTGCTCCTCCTCTACTGTCTGAACCCTGAACTCCCTGGAAACTGCATTTTTTGAGCCTGCTTTGATCTTTTACTTAATCTGGTTTTAATTGTATTTATATTTAGTTTATAATATGCCATTCTGTTTGATTGTGTTTTAATATCACTGCCAATGGTTGCAACTCAGCTGTAAATGGGATGTCTCATCTCAGTAGGGTTACTTTTTTTCTGCTGAAAGATTAATATAGTGGCTGCTGCAGTCCTGTGAAACCTCTAGGTCTGGCTTCCAGGCTCCCAGCAGTATTGTGTCTCATTACAAACACCCTGGTTTTAACATCCCAAACCCTTTTCTTCCAAAGACCCCTCTGTAATGAGACTTCGTTACTTAGACAAAAATTAATTAGGCTTCTCTCATTATCACTGTTTTGATCGGTTGTGCTTTAAGTGAGTTCTAATTAAAATGCACATTTTAAAACCCTCACTGCTGAATCCTCTTCTAATAGCTCGCTTCTACTGCGGCGATGCCCTGCTTTTTGTGCAGTTTGCATTGTGCTGCTTTTGCAGAACTCTAGCATTGATTAAGAAAACTAAAAACTTGCATGATTTTTTTTTTTCTGCTTGTTTTCTACATTTTTTTCTCCAGACTGCCTGCCAAATGATTGCTCCTGAGAGCCTGAGAATGGGGATTAGAGCTGAAACACTGAATTCTTTACATGTGGTAAAATTGATGAGCTGAGTTTCTCAGTGTCCTGTATAGTCAGTAACCCTACTTGTTCCCAGAATGTTCCAAAACATAAGGGGGAAGCTATATGCTGCAGTTTTTACTATTTAACTGCAAATTTCTGCTTGCCTTAGGTGTTCCAAGTTGCCTTAAATACATTGTTTATTTTGGCAGGATTGTGTGATCCATCCCAGGGATACCTGCCACATGCTAAGTCTGTGGATGCTCTGCTATGGCTAGAGGGGGACATTTGAAGGCTGGCTCTCCTTAACAAAGGGGCTGATCTGTAAATCAGACAAAGTATTTTGTATCCTTTAATGGTTTCCACTCTGAAGTGTGTTGCAGAGCAGCAGCAGAAAGGTGCCAAAAGTATTTTAAAGATGAGGAAACACATATGAAGAAGTACATGCCAGGTCTCAGTGCAGCCTGTGGCAATACTGGGAATAACCTTTCCCTGCCACCATTCCCAGTCCCTCTCTCTGCCCACTTCCAACACATCCCACTGTCTTGTACAGAGCTATTTTTTGTTTGGCAGGGCTTTGAGCAAGCAGCCAGGACATAGCCACCCCTTGTTCAGAGAAAGAGGGCATCTTTTTCACCGAGGCCAAAATGCCACCCTTGAGCCCCCCGTCAGTGCCAACACCAGATCATTCCAGCTTAATTTAACATTTGCAGACATTATAGTGATTGACAGTTGAGTTGAGTGGAAAATTCCAGTTTAATCCTGCTCTGTGTGCCACAGACATGGGCTCAGACAGCTTGACCTACATTTAACCCTGGGCAGCAAGAAATTCTTAGGGGAAAAGAAAAAAAGTGGTTTTCATCTCAAAGCAGTGAGAACATTCCCACTTATTACATGTTACATGTCCCTGTATATATGCATACACATGTAATTGTGTTACAGTGCTGTGAATATTTCATGAGCTGAGCCAAGTTTGCCCTGGTTGGCTTTACTTGGTGAAGAAGACGTGTAAGTCAAATATAAAAGCACAAGTGTGCTTGCATAACTGCTCAGTAGGGTTTATGGCAACAGCAAAAAGGATAGGAGCTAGTTCTTTCCTGACAATGAGGTTAGGATTGTAAGTGCTATAAAATTTGCTTATGCTGCAAACTTTATATCTCTTGGGGGAAAAGTTGATGAGCTGGTAACTTCAACTAATGTACTGTCAGGAAAAGCCTAACAGGTAATGCTTGACTGAGGGACTGCAGAGTCAGTCTGGTTTCTTTAACCCCCCCCCTCCTTCTGCAGATCAAAGGTGCTGATAGTGACTGACTGTGTTTGTTTTGGGAAGTTACAGGTGCACTACTGGGTGTCACAGCTTTCAGCGAGGTGCATTGGCAAACATGAAAAGCCCTGTGGCTGAGTGATAACTGCATTAAGTACTCAGCATGCAGGCCCTCTCACCTTCTACAGTCATGCTGTATCTTATACCTATAGATAATATGCATGCTATCTCCAGCCATATGCCAGGGCAATCAGGCACTGTACTGTAAAATGGTGCTCTGTCAGGGAAATGGCATCAGGTGCACTAAAATCCCCACCTGTCAGGGCACAGAAGTGAAGTGCCTGTCTGCAGTGAAACTGTGCTCGAGAGTAAACTGCAGCTGTAGCTTGAGTGCTGCTTGTGCACTGGTGCTTCTTTGTTTTGAAGATTGTCTGTGTGTGGGCCCATGCTGTGCAGAGGTGTGAGGGCTAGTGCACAGCAATCCAGCAATAGAAAATACACTGTTAGTACATTAGGCAGAACTTTGAGGTCACTTCTATAAAATGACACTGTGTTCTCTTTATTTTCATGGCTTTTCTAATCTAGTCCAGGATAAAAACTTTATTCAGGTATTTAGCTAACCATATCATTAGTCATCAGTTAGCCAAGGCTGAGAAATTTCCCTTTCTCCACTACAATTCATCCAAAGGTCTCCTTCTGCATTGAAACACAGCTGCCACATCTGGGAGGTAGCTGGAGGCCACAGCTGTGTGCAGGCACCTGTTTTTGGGGGAAAGGTGCTCCAAGGTGGCTCTCAGGCAGTGGCTGGATAAAGAGCTGGTGTAAATGTGCTGGTGGAAGTGCTTGTCAGTGCCAGCTGAGGGGACTCTGCACCACTTACTGCAGAGTCTGTTCAGCTGAAGGGCAAGTACAGCATCACTGCTCATGAGATCTCTCATGTTCTCTCATATCCACATCCTTAGGAGCTCTGGCAACTCTTTTTGTGCCTATGAACAAATCCATGTGAAGTGATAACAAAAAAAGGATGTGAGGCAAACTTGCAGTTTGTGTATTTAGAACCTCATGGTGGGGTTGGATTTTGTCTCCACCTGCTTTGTGATCCCAGATGGAAGGTCATCAGCAAGCACAAGGGCCAGGTCAAGGCAATGTTCACAAGGAGCCTGTGCTGTCTCTGCATGCCTGCTTTAGGTCACCAAGGCAGCCCAGTGAAATTACTGGTGCTGGATCTGTTCCACTACCAGCCTCCCAACAGTACAGTTCTGATTCATATTAAATATAGGATCCCAACTGCAGTTCTGATGGATCCAGCATAGCATTTCAAGTGGAAATTACATCAATTTTATGACTTTAGTCTGATTGCAAGAGTACATAAGATTTTTGATTCAGCATGAGTTTGAGAGGAGGACACAGACTATTCAATACCTGACTGGCAATGGAGCTAACTTGAGAACTGTAGCATGTTTGGGCATTATTCCTAAACAAGCCTGAATATCCTCCCCTGTGTTCCCTCCTCTCTGATTGTCCAATCAATTCATCAAACTCAAGCTCAAACTTAACACTACATGTTACCCTGCGGGCTTTTGAAATCAAGATATATTCTTTCTACTTAAGAAGATCATAAAAATAGGCAGCTAATTGCCAGGGGATAATTACAATTCTCTAATTATTATTGTTGCTGATGGTAAGTGATGAACAAGGATGAATGAGATGCAATGCCCTAAGCTGACACCCTGAAGGGGACACAATCAGAGGAATTTTTTTCAACTTTGGCTCCAGCAGCATCTTGAGTCACTATTTTTGCTCTGGCCTGTTACTGGGTCACAGCTTTGGCTCCAACCCTGCTCAAAAGGCTCAGCTGCACCTTCAGCTTGAGCACTAATTTCAACTGTGACTGGCTCTGGTCTTTGTTCAGG